AGAGATGAAGCACAGCGGATGAGTGGTGAAGGTGGGCACGTGGAAATAAGCTATTCTCAAAGCAAACCCATGGTTGAATGTGAAATTACACAGCGGATACATTCAAAGGAGAACCGAAAGCAAGAGAGAGAAAGAGGAGAGAAGAAGTGGGTTGTTAGTGAAAACGTTTACTCAGAAGGATTGTATTAACACAGTGTCATTAGAAACTGAACTAAATGATTCATTTATAAAACAGGAAAACTGGACTACTTTTATCACATACAACTTATAGGTAATAGGCTGATTTAATCATTAATTTTCAACTGGTTGCAAACGGATCCTATGAAACTCAAAGAGCATTATTACTTTTGAACCCGGTCGCTGACAAACCCTGAAAGCGTTAGTGAAAAGGCCAGTCGTTTACCAAAAACAGGCAGAATTTCCCTTGGAATTTAAAAGAACTTTTCTTTTGTATCACATTATCTAGGCAGAATGGAAGACAGACTTTCTGAGACTCTCAGCTCTCCTATTTCTGATGTAAGTAGCCACTCCTGGGTGTCTTGGTAGCATAATCATAACCTACCCTGACAACTTTTCAGTTACTGATAGATATCTTGTTTGCTGTGATTCCTGTTATTCTAAACTAATTTTTAACCAAATCCTTTGTGGAATATTCACAAATTTTTTAACAAAGGAATGAAGAGGACCTAATGGCACGTGCTACCAGAAGCATCTGTCCTTGTAGCATAAGACAGGGCCCCCATGGTGCCCGAGCCTTCCTCTCTGCTGGGGTTGGGGGCTGTCAGTGCAGGAAATCCTGAGACACTGGCAGTTACCTCATCTAGCAAGTTCTTTATAAATTCATGTTGCACATCTTTAAATTTTTCAAAGTTAAAATTTTGAAAACATTATAAATCCACAGGATGATTTCATTTCTTGTTCATGTTGACTTCCAATGTTACCCACTCAAAAGTTGCTTTCTGCAGACATGGAAAAGAGATCTGAAGAACTCAAAGCCACTTCAAATCAACTTCTAAGTGACTATACTTGCCCAAGGTAATATAAAATAACCCCGGCAAGTTTGAAAATGCAATATAGGTTACTTCTCTGTTCACTATGGTATACACACCAAAGAAGACTGAAAGCAACACGCCATCTTCTCACTCAGTATTCAAAAAACAATTACTTAAAACTTTCTTCTTCATCAGTGGTAGATTATTAATGAAAAATCATATTTTTCATAAAGACCACCTTTCTTCTTTTAAAAAATTCAAGTCAATACTACAATAAAATAACCAAGACATAGGCTACACATTAAAATTTACTTGAAACAAACCAAATATGAATTTCAAATCATCACAGCTTTTATAATTGGGGGCTTAATTAAATAGGATAATTATAAGGATGGACAAGAGACCAATAAATTACTTGCTTGCACTAAGGTAATTCATGCTGAAATATTTTGCTTTGAACACCAACCAGAAGGTTAGAGACTCAGTCCAAACCGGCAAGAGCACACACATATTTGAAAAGTGGGAAATTTTATCAACACAGAACATACAATGGCTGATTTTAAAAGATATGTGAGTTCTGAAGCAACAAATGCAATAGACAGCCTCTCGTCTAAATACACATTTAAAGCCACGTATTCGACTAATTTACCATACCTTTCCTTCAGTGAGTTGCACGTGTGGGGTTTTAGCTGGGCTTCTAATGTCCCTGCTGCCATCACCATCTTGTACCACAGCAGGGCTCACAGCTCCAGGGCCACGTGCTGAAACCTCCCCAGCAGGGCCAGGAAAATCCTTCGTAAGACTTCGGTCCACAACACCAATCAGAGCTAGTTGAGAATGATCATACGGATTGCTTTAGGACACTTAAGCGATAAAATTTGATGAACGCCCCGCCTTCCCAGATAAACAGGCACCTTATAGACAATGAACAGAAACGGGAACACTGTTTGATCATGAAAATAATGTATCAAATAAACTCATGTTTAAACTTTTAATAAACTCTAGAAGTATTCTGAATTGTCACCCAATAAATTAGACCAAGCTCTCAAGTCACAGATTTTTGAAGGATAGACACTGATCTTAGAATTGGCCAGTAGAAGGAGCTCTAAGACCAGATGAAACACCAGAGTCAGGGTACTGTCAGAATTACAAGGTGAGCAGTATTTTAGTTCTCTGGAGTCTCTTTAATCTTGCCTGAACTAATTTCTGAATCTACCTATCGCAACAAATAATTACCTAGTTATTAAAATGATTTGCTTCAATAAGTTTGAAGAATTCCTCCATAAAGGAACCTTTAATTAGAACACCAGTCGAAACTGCAACAAGACAGTAAGAGTAGATTTTAGAGAATCAACTTCTATGTTTATGCTAATATTTCTCATTTTTCTAACCTCCCTCCTGAATGCCTCAACTTGACCTACAGTAAGTCTAATAATACACAAAAACCCTCTGCCTTAGCAAATCTGGGCTTATGTGTTCCCTTCGTCTATCCTACAGATGTGCAGGAACATATATCACGTTGACATTTCTGTCATATGGCAGATCAATCCAAGACGGCTTCAAATCTCAACAAAGCAAAGTGAGTAGCAACCGGCAAAAGCCTCTGTCCATCTGTAGTTTCTTCCCCAAAGAAGAAACCACTGAGGTCATTTCACCAGTATAAAAAGTGCTTTCCTGACACAGTGTGGCTTGCTCTGGACCCATGCCCCTAGGGAAGCCCAGTGTTTAACTTTAGGCTGCAAGCTCTTGGAGGGCAGAGACTGTGTGTGACCCAGCATACTGAACTTGGGCAACACCTAGACCTCTAATCCATGTGTTACTAGAAGCCTCTTAATCCACACCCCTCACCTGCCCTGTCCAAAACTTCCTTCTTCTCAGTCTTGACTTTTCGCCAAATACACTCTCATGCTTGCACCCAGTTACTCAAGTCAGATACCTTGAAGTCTCTTCCTTTACCCCTCAACAACCAGCAAGTCCAAGAGAGTCCTTGGATGTATTTCTAAATGTGGCCACTTGCTTCCATCTCTATTTTACCACCCAGATCCCTTTTAAGACTTTCAAGGCTCTTAACACTCATACTTTGGAAAGCCCACAACAAATCATATCAAACATTAAAATGAATTCACACCGTACATTAAATATAATTATTTTCTAGGGTTTTAACTTTTAAAAAGATTTTAACAATTTTTCCTTGGAAAGTATATGAGTAACTCTTTAACCCTATGATTATGGTTTCTAAGCACCCATTATGCAAACTCAAGAGATTTACTGCAAAATGAGAAACTCTGACCTACAAATGGCTTCAAATGTAATATCAAAATTTTAATGAATATCCAATTTAAAGTTAATTAATGAAGTCGGCAAAATATTGACCCTGCATACTTTTGTTAAACACTTAATGATTTCAGTTTGCAGCTAATAATTTTTGTCAGGTCTTAAACCGCATAGAACCCTGAGAAGTTTATAGGCCCAAGGCACAGAACCTATGGTGCCAATGACTAATAGGTCTACTACCATTTGAGACAAAACCACCATGACTCTCACACACCAGGATTATTCCTGACAAGTCGGCCTGAGCTTCCTCTCTCATCCTCTCTAATTGTTCTGGACATGGCATCAAGTGATTTTTGTTTCTTTTAAAGATAGCACTGTACACATATGTGCTTGTATAAGTGTGTACACACGTGTGTGTATGTACAACACACACCCTTCAATGGTTTCCTAGAATAAAAACCACGTTCAGCACCAAGAGAATGTGACCTGCAAGGCCCTGTGTGACCTGCTCCCAGCCTACCTCTCCCTATCACTAGTCAGTTCTGACTGCACTTGCCTTCTTTCTGTTCCTAGAATGTATCAAGCTGTCTCTAAACTTTTGATCTTCAGACCTGCTACTCCTGCTACCTGGAATGCTTTATCTCCTGTTCTACTCACGGCTGCTTCCTTCTCATCCTTCAAGTCTCAACTGAAATGGTTCTTCCTCAGATATGCCTTCCTTCCCTGATGACCCAATCTGTAATGCCCCTGATTATACTTTCCACTTTCAGGAAATCATCAGTTCCCCTGCTCTCACATGCATCCGGGGTGTTAATGCTCTCAATGACTGATCTGCCTCCTTTCTGGTTTGAATAGCAATCTTGGAATCTCACTGTTCTAAAATATCTATCCTAGATTAATTTTTATTTTGACATTTGATCTTTAGATATTACATTGATTTTTACTTTCTACATAATCACTAAAAGACTTAATTTGTCAAACCTTAAAGTGAAGAATCTTTATATAATTAAATAGCCTGTTTAAAAACAGGAGAAAGAAAACATAACACATATCAACAACAACAAAAAAAGGTATATGGATGGTGTGGTGGGGAAAATAGAGCTCAGTACCAGGTTACAGCCTAGCTTTGCTCTGGGGGAAAAAAAGAACATAAGCCCTATCCAAATAGTTCCCTGTCTGGTCATGTATTGGCATGAAAAGCCTCCTATTTTTCACAACAACACAATAATCCTTTTGAATGGCTGGCCCATCTGATGAATTACAGTGTCCAAAACACAAAAGGAAAAATAATGGATTACTGTGCCATGTTTGTTGCTTTTACTTGTGAAAATCATTGTTTTCAGATACGGACCCACTATAACCCTCTGCACTAACTGCTCATACAAGATGGTGGGCTTCCTTGAGCACAGTTCATATACCTCAAAGAAAAAGCAGTAGTTTACTGCTCTTTTTAAGCCCTAAAATTCACAACATGAGAGTTACAAAAACCTCATAGTTTTAAAACAAAGGCTAAAAAGGACAGTGTTCCAGAAAGAGGAATGATTTCTCTCAAGGCATTAAATGACACTGATCACATTTATTCAGCACTTGTATAAATTCTCTGTGACAAGGGGCAAGACTTGTGAAATATTTACATAACCGGGCACATTTTTTTGGATTTACTTGGAAAAAGTACTCAGTTGTTGATGAGCTAAAAGATACTCTGACAGCTATCATCCAGTACTAATTCACTAAATTTAAATCACTGCATTTGGGAACGTGGACATTTATTTGAACCACAATTTATGAGTCTGTTGCACATTTTTTTCTGTGGTCTCATAAAACTATATGAAAGATTCTCCAGAAGCAAGATTCAATAACTATATGTACCAAAATGCCCACCAACAAAACTTGGGAAGCGTCTGTGGGTCTGGCTGGATCTGTTTTCTAAGTTTATTCCAGGAAAAACAGACCAAGGCCAAGGAGTGTCAGTCCTTCACTACCGAAAGAAGATTTTTATCTATTAGCATATCCAATCTGTTCAGCTAATTACCTGAAACATAAGTTGTTCAAGTTCGTATTTCAGAAAGATATCACTAATGACAATCAAAACCAGGTTTTTGCTGATGAACAGTAATAAAATAGAAATTTTCCAATTTAGCATTACTATTTTTGTGTGTATGTTTTGAGATTCATCAGCCAAAAAATGCTAGAGAACTACTTCTGGTAGAAAGGTATCCATACCAATTACTTGCTATTAGGTAGAAAGAAAAAAAAATTTTTTAAAGCGTTCTAATATAAAATTAACCTCAGCTCTTTTATAGGAAACCTGCTATTAACCCAAAATTAGACAGGTAATAAGATATATACATAAAATGAAGGGAGGCAACATCAATTTATTTCCATGTGTAATTTATTTAAAAACTACATATATGTAGCTAATGAGAATTCTAATAGAAAAAATTTATACACGTCTCCCCTTGGGTGTAAGAACAGATGAACACACTATATTTCCTTTTTGTTAAACACTGTATTCAAACTAATCCTTTGAAGCTGTGAATGGTTTCCCGTACGCTAGAATGTCTGTTAAGCTTTAGTAAGGGTTTTTAAACTCAAAAATGTGATGATGCAATGAATGTTTTACATTCCTTTGAATAAAAGTTCTATATATGCTATCACACCAAAAACCCTTGGAATTACATGTTTGCCATTAATTAACAAGTTCAAGAAATTAAGTCACATATCATATATCACAATTAAGTCAGACCAGTAAAAACATCTGTCCAACATCTCATCAACAAGAACTCAACTAATATTTGTGAGTATTTACAGTGCCAAGAAAATTTAGGTTCAGAATGACAACTTCAAAACACTATAAAATTATTTTCTTATGAGTGTAAGTAATAGTATTTTATTTACTCAGGAAAAAAGAATGGCTCTCCCTCTAGGGTATTTCTGGGGATCTTATTAATAAGTAGATCAACATTTTCTGATCCCACTGGATTAGAGAAAGATTAATGGAATCCAGAATCCTAATAAATGTGTTTACCTCCATCTAGACTCCTGGAAACCCGCTTACTAGAAGTGCGTTCAAAGTGCGGTGCCGGCCTGTCAATGAGGGTGCTGGCCTGGCGGGTCTGCGCTTGGGTACGGCCGCTGTAGCGGAATTTGGACCCCAAGGTCAGGAACTTGGCCTTTGGTGGCTGCTCTGGAGACACAAGCCTGTTGGGGAAAAAGGGAACAAAATTAGACTTTATGGATTTTTTTTTAACTTTAACTATATATTTTAATATATCATTTCATTAAGTATGATTATTTGGTCCAAAACATGCTGCCTAAACTTTCTAATAAAAATCAACATTATTTATAAACCCTCCTATATACAGAGCTTTATGATAATGATAAGATGAATAAATCCTCATTCACATATTCATGAATAATGCTTTCCTCAACCGGAGCAAAAACGCAGCTGTTTTCAGTGTATATCAAAGGTTATTTATTTGTATTAACTTAAATCATTTATATAAACACATATGTCTGAATTCTCGCTCCAGGCCAGAAGTGCCAAGTAGCAATCCATTACCATTAGTAATTCTTAATATTTATGTCTATTTCTCTGGGAAAGAACGTCTAACTCAGGAATCTGTCCCATCAAGTGACGCTGTCCCATGAAGAACACCGCACAGCGGACCTGTAGGGATGACGAACACCCTTTCTTGGCAGCACAATTCTCCTGCTTAAACCCCAGGCCCGTAATGAATGAAGTACAACTCCTGATGGCAAGCACTTCCAGACTCATGTGAAAGCACGGCTTTAGTAAGTGAGCCAATCCTGTGTGGTACACAACTGAAATTATCTTGCCTTCACTGCCTGATGAGGAGCTGGCAAAACATCTTAACAAAAAAGATAATCCCAGAGCTCTTAGAGAATGTATTAAATAAGAAGACTGCAGTTGACAATTCCAGAATATGGAGAACTCCACCAAAATTTTTCCTATCATTATCCAAAGAAGAGTGGTTTCTTAAAGAGTTCTTTACCGTTCCGGTTATTACTAGCATTTCTGCTCAACTTTTAGAAATCCGCTTAACGAGCAATAAAAAGAGATTCAAGTCAAGGTAAAGCTACAGGTAGTAATACAAGAGGTGCTCCCGCATCAGTTCAGGATTCTCCATCATATCAACCCAGGAAAACAACGTGTTAGAACGAGACTGATGAAAAAAGAACTAATACACTCTTGGCTTTAGTCTTGTCATAGAGGCTAGCAGAAGTGTTCCTTGAAAACTTCCATTTTCTGCCAATAGATTTTCAAAGGAGACAGAGAATGGTGTTGCTGACAAAGCATAATCTGAAGACGTCAGTGCCTCAAACTGTACTTTGGAAAAAGCTCTATATTCTTAAATTAGAGAGCCAGAATACTAGACATTTAGACCAGAAATTAACTCTTGTCTGTGCTCTGTAATCTCTTTCTCTAACAGTGAAGGAACCTGGGATGCTGAAAGATTAAATGTCTCGGCACACTCATAACGAGCACCAGGGGCAGGGTGAGAAATGTGGTCGTTTACCATGCACTGTCTCCTGATGGGCTGAATATGGTGGGTTTCCCTACCTTGCAATCCAGCTAGCTATGGCCTAAAAATGCTGTGTAAGAAAGCAATGATGTATAGAAAAAGGGTCATTGGCAAGCTTATCAGTGCAGTAATTAAGAAATGCTCATTCTTCTTGAAAAACAAGTTGGCTAAATCACATTTATTTTATCATCCATTCATGAAGCATGCCCTGTAGGTACTGGGAGATCAACAAGTGGACAAAAACAGACATTTCTAAAAAATATCTCAAAGGAGAAACATGCATCATAACCCAAAAGGAAATACCCCCTCCCCCACAAAATTTTTACAACTAAACAAAAGACAACAAGTGCTGGCGAGAATGTGGAGAAACTGAGACCCCTGCATACTATTGGTGGGAATACAAAATGGTAGAGAAGCTATGTGAGACAGTAAGGAGGCTCCTCAAAAAATTAAAAATAGAACCACCACATGAGCCATCAGTCCCACATCTGGGTATTTTTCCAAAAGATCTGAAATCAGGATCTCAAAGAGATATTAGCATTCCAATGTTCATTATACCACGAGTCATAATAAATAAGATATGGAAACAACCTCATCATCCATCTACAAATGAATGGATAAAGGAAATACAGGATATACATACAATGGAATACTATTCAGCCTTTAAAAAAGAAGGAAATTCTGCAGTATGTAACAGAATGGACCTGTTACATTCTGGAATGTAACCTCCTTGAGATGGAATGGCCCATCTCAAGGAGGGACCTTGAGAACATTACGCTAAGTGAAACATGCCAGACACAGAAAGCCAAGTACTACATAATTCTACCTATATGATGTATCCAAAACAGTCAAAATTCACAGAATCAAAGACTGGAATGCTGGTTACCAGGGGCTGGAGGGAGGGTACGATGCGGAGTTGTTAATCACCAGGCAAAAATTTTCAATTAAATAAGATAAATAAGCTCTAGAAAGCTGCTATACAACACTGTACCTACAGTCAATAATAATATATTATACATTTAAAATTTGTCAAGTGATCTTGCCACAATAAAATTATTTAAAAAGAAGAAAAAAAAAGACTAGAGGCAAACAGGAGAGTGAGACTGGGTTATCTGCTACCCTTCTGCAGGTTCACTTCAGTTGACTATATCTCAACCAAAGGCCACATCTTCCCAGAATGAGCAGCTCCATATGAGGATTTTCTCTTACTTTCAGTCTACAAAAAATATAAATCCAAGAAATACAAGGAAAATATTTTAAAGGCAGATTTAAGTCATAATGCAAAAGAGGGAAAATCATTAACTGGACAATTTTTATTCTGTTTATGTCAAACTGAGATAAAGTGCTTTCTTGCCCAACTGGCACTGGTGACCACATATATAAAGTATTAGATTACAGATTAATTTTCTGATCACAAAGAAATCCTTAAGCAATTAAGCTACAATTAAACAGAAACTAGTACCAAAACAAAAAAGTGTTGACCACAAATATTTATGAGCTCTCTCTAAAAGAATCTTTTTGGTGATTTAAGTCAATGGTAATATGACTCCTCTGAAATGAGTATATTAGAGCAGTTTTGAAAATAAATAGCAGACTATGCTACCAAACTAAGAATGATGATGATAATGATAAACATTATTTCATACCAGAAATGGTTCTAAGTTTGTTTCACGTGAGCTATATCATTTAGTTTTCAAAACAACCCTGTAATATAGGCACTATTATCATTACCATCACACAAATGATGAAAGGGAGAGACTCACAAAGGTTGAGTAACTTACCTACAATCACACATCTAGTATGTGGAGGGGCAGCATTAGACCTTAAGAGTGCAAAGCAAAAACTTTAAAGATGAAGGGTCTAGATATCACAGCTAGCTAGACTGCAGTAATAGGAAACTGAGGAAACAGAGAAAAGGAAGATCAGCAAACCACACTTTGCTAAGAAAAGCAATGTTAAAAAGTATGTCCCTGAATAAAAGTATGAAAGGAGACAGGACAAAAGCTATAGGAGGCTAAAAGGTCTAAGGAGATTTTCTGGGTTTTTTTGGTTTTTCAGGGAGCAAGACATGGACATGTTTATTGGCCAAAGAACTGATCGAAGCCACCCACTGGGGGCACATGATTTACAAAGCACAATCCTACACGAGGCATGAAACAAGGGATCAAGGTAGAGGAATAAAAGTTCTATATATGCTCTTTCTTGAAACAGGAGAGGAAGAAAAGAATGAGTGAAGGGAGAGGGAAACGATGCTGAATTATAGACAGAAAGAGAAAATGAGAAGATGCATGAAACCAAGAATGCTCACGACCCACAGCATCTACTATCAGCACACCCTCCAATGAAGGGCATCTGAGCAAAGGGGCCAGGGTGCCCTGGGGCTCAAGAAGACCAGGAATATTTGTGATGGTGGCACTAGGATCCGGCTGACATGGGAAATGATCTCTCTGCAACTGCACCAACCCAAAGTGCTGTGTGAGTGTGTCTGTCTGGATAGTTATGCTATTGAAAGCAACACGTGGTAGCACAGGTATAGAAATGGTGAGGTCGGGACATAGGACTCATCCAGGACCAGGAGACTGGAGGCTGATGTGCAAAAAGGGACAGGGACTTAGCGGGGAGAACACTCCTAACAAAGTAGCAAATGGAGAGAGCACAGGGTTCAGGGTTGGTCTGGCTGGGAAAGAAGACAGGAGAGAGCTGATAACAGCAACTAAGTGAAGCCTAAGGTGAGTGACAGTGAAAGAGCGGCAGCCGGGGTGGGAGGGTATGGTGGTGAAGGGCAACTGGAGTGAGGGACCACTGCAGAGGCAGAGCAGTTGTGAGCCAGGACTAGCATGGCATGGTGACAGAAACAGATACACCAAGAGGGAGAGCAAAGAACCATAAAGCAGTCGTGGCTGCGTCTGCCACGCTATCCACTGACCCCTCCTAAGATCTAGAGGGTACCAAGATCTGTTTTCATGAATCCCAAGCTGTTTTCTCAAAATTACCTGTAGAAAGTATGATGTTCCACGCACACTTTCCATAACCTTTTCGCTGCCCGATGGTTTGGCAGTTTAAAGCCAATGGTGCTCTCAAACTGTTCCAGCTAGAATAAATCCATAAAACAAATCAGCATATCTCTTAAGAGCTGATTAGAAGCTACTGAAAAACATGGATTCAGATATTTCACTAAGAAGTAATTGTTCTTCTTGAAAAAGGGCAAATATCAACTACTGACATAAATTAGCTATTCCTCAATGTCCACTAAAACGCATTTTACCACCTTCCTTTCGATCTTGACCACTTAGCTCATGCAAAGAAAAATGAGCCCCCCCAGATGTGGCAGGCACTGACTACTTTTCCTTTTCTGTGAAATTGTGGCTGTTGCTTGTTCTGTTTTGTTTTTTGTTTTTATCAACAGGAATACATATATGCAAGTTTATCATCAAAAACCCTGACTTTTTTTTTTTTACCATGGAGGAATAAATAATAGTTCATTTTCTTAACATTCAATGGAAAAGAATTCTGGTAGCTTGTGGCCATAAAGGAGAACACTGACAAAGCCCGATTAGATATGCCAAGGGCTACATGACTCTGCTTACCTCTGCTGGCCTAACTTTTATGTAGAAGTTACTGCGCTTATAGGAGATTTTCAGGATTTTCGGCCAAGCAAAACGATTGATTCTCAGTCTGTCTTTGTAGATGAGAAGCCCATTAGCACACACGCCCAGCTTGATGTCCACGCCTTCTGAGTCCTGCCAAGCATAAGCCATTTGACCATGGTTAGAGCTGTGAAAGTTATATAGGTAGGGAAGTCAATGATGCCCCTCAAACCATGATCAGGAATGCCAATTTAACAAGTCTGTATTTCAACTGCAGTGACAGTACACAAGTTAATAGAAACAGTAGGACATACATACAACACATCTTAAACCTAGATATTCCTCTTGAGGGGTCAGATTTGAGATATGGCAACATGACTACAGGACACAACATTCTTCAAAAGGCCTAACTAATATGTCCTCGAGCTCGGCTGTAAGAGCTAAAAGGGAGGAAAGGAAACAGACCTCAATTTAGACATCCTGAAGATACAGGAGATAAAACATGTTTCCTAGAGGCTATTCCAGCCCCTGGGGACAGTCTGTCGGCTTACCCTAAGGTGCAGTCAGCCATTTTACTGTAGGCAAATTTATCTCAGATGATTATGCTAGCTAACAGCTGTTAAGTACCATCTATATTCTGGAGAACACCAACTCCGCATAGAAAATTTCTCTTCTAGGCTGACGGTGTTGAAATCTTTGAATTCTTCCAAGCAGTTTTTCAATAACACTAACTGCTGACATCCCGTTCTCATTACAACATTCCTTTGGCTGGCATATTTCAAATAGATTACAGACTATTCTTGAACTTACTGTTTTCTTTCCTCGGCGTTTTAATTTGGAAAAGATGACAATCTAGAATAATCGCCAGCCTGAAAGATTTTTTTAAAAAATCAAATACATTTACAGACAAAAGTAAAAAACTGCCTCCTCACATTTCAAGTAGTGGTTGAAGATCTAATATGTACAATATTCAAATATCTTTAAGAGAAGAACTAGATCTCATTCAAGATACGGAAAACTGAAGATTATTATTCAGAGATATTCACATTTTTAGAAATCATTAACAACATGGAACAAATTCTCACAAAATATGCTGAAACAAACCCCACATAGTCTAGGTTCGAGTCAATAAAACTATAACATTTCAACTGCCTTGTTACTGAGAACAATTTAACGCAATTTATTTCAGTTTTTTAAAAATAGAAATACAGTACTAGGTAACTGATGCCAATGGCATTCACTGCTGTGATATGTGAACAACTCATATATACAAATAAAATTACATTAGACCGGGGCTTCCCTGGTGGCGCAGTGGTTGAGACTCCTCCTGCCGATGCAGGGGACATGGGTTTATGCCCCGGTCCGGGAAGATCCCACATGCCGCGGAGCGGCTGGGTCCGTGAGCCATGGCCGCTGAGCCTGCGCGTCCGGAGCCTGTGCTCCGCAACGGGAGAGGCCACGGCAGTGAGAGGGGCCCGCGTACCGCAAAAAAAAAAAAAAAAAAAATTACATTAGACCATCTGAGCAGGTTTAAAAATCTCATCTACAAAGGTACTTTATTCACCCATATCCTGACAGCCACAGTTCTGTCTAGGAACAGAGTAAAAAGCCAGAGTGAACCAGGCACAGGTGCCTAAGCAATTTGGCACCAGACACAAATGACGTGTTTGCCCAAAATACCACTGGCCAGGGACACAGGGAGCAGGCCGGAAGATTGCCCAAGACAGCATGTTCTCAGCACAAATAAGGAGGCAACCCTCATTTGAAACATTAAACAAAGCTATCTCTAGTGTGAGGCAATCTTTCAACAGGACATTGAAGCTATTTTATCTGACTGAAAAATAAACACAGTCTGGATCCAAGTAAATCAGCTGAGGTTCGATTGTTCCACATATTGTTTTACAATTATCAGTATTTGTGTGAATAGAAATTACAGATAAAGGGAAAGAAGTTAAAGGGAAAAAAAGCATGCCTTAGTTCTCCATATTTGACTTCTGCCATTCAGCAACAAAGTCAGAAAAATAGACTAATAAAAAAGGAGCATCTTGGGCTTCCCTGGTGGCGCAGTAGTTGAGAGTCCGCCTGCCGATGCAGGGG